AAAAAAAAAAGAAAGATAAGCAATCAGATTTCGGTTATCAACTGCCAACATACCGTGGAAGGGATGTGTGATGAGGGTAGCAGCAGAACGAGCAATCATCTCTCGAGTTGTCTAGAAACAATCAACACACACTTCTGAAATCTAAATAAATGACACTCAAATTCCTGTGAGAAGGAATGTGGTAAAATACAAGATAAGATAATGAGAGACACAGCACTTCTGCCCTAGAGTCAGGAAGAGCAGTTTGAATGGGATACAATATAGCACGGTCCTTCTACCACAACTTTCACTCATGGGTTTCAATGTTCCGTTATAGTTACTTCCTCAAAAGTCTGCAGAGCAGATTTCTGTTATTTTCCCAATTTTACACATAAGAAAAAAAGGAAAGAAACAGGGAGGACCACCAACAAATAGTCACTTAAGTGGAATAAAACTATGAGGCCTGTATTCAGTTTATTAAGTTGCTCTCTTAATTGTGAGTGATTCTGAGACTGATTATTTGTGCTAGACAAATGTCAGGCTCCCTTTAATCTGTACCAACATATCAGGGAGAACCGAACAACTTTTATTGTTTTGCAACTACAATCCTATAACTGTACAGTATCTTAGAGCTGCTGTGTTTATCCTAATTTATCTCTCTAGTCTATGACTATAAGGAATAAAGAAGATTAAATTACAACACTTGGAGATAGGCCCGGGGGTTGAAAATGTAGCAGACCTGTCATTCATTTTGCACTTAAACATTATCTTCATACCTGGTACATATCAGGAGAAAAACAGAAAGCATTATCTTCACTGACTGAGTTAAGACACCCTTCACCCCTACACTCCATTGGTAGCTTTAGAGAATCCTGAGGACAGAATGGGCTAACTAAAGAAAATACATAATGCAAAATCAATCTACCAAAAAAAAAAAAACCCACAAAAATACAAAATGCATATTAATATGTGTATCCCTACTTTTTTTTTTATTTTGGCAGCTAGCCGGTATGGGGATCTGAACCCTTTACCCTGGTGGTGTAACACTGTGCTCTAACCAACTGAGCTAATCAGCCAGCCTCTATCTCTACTTTTAAACTAACTCACTTCCTAACAGTTTACAAAAAAACAGAACTGATTTATCTGGTGTCTAGACCTTTAGTAATGTTTGTTTTAGAATACATATTTTAAAGATTATTTTATTATTTCATATTTTGGGGGCAGCTGGCCGGTAAGGGGATACAAACCTTTGACCTCGGTGTTCTAACACTGCACTCTAACCAACTGAGCAACCAACCAGCTGCAATATATATTTTAGCAGGCAGCATTTACTGGAAAACTGTGACCTCATTAATGGCAATTAGACAACTTGAAGATCAAGAAATAAAGGAGAAGTTTTGAAAGTCAGGCATTCCAATGGCAGACGCTGGGGGTGGGAAATGGATAATGAGAAACATTTCAGAGCCAGAAAAACATAAAAACATTTCTGGATATACGATAACCAACATACCAAGGGCCTGGCCATT